TTTGTAATAAAAGACTAAAGCCATCAATACGTTGCGTTCAATTATAGAGAAAAATAGCACAGATACTGCGTGTGTTGAGTAAATAAAGTGATCGCTCTATTGACGGCATGTTTGTTTTTGCAATCCTTGTGCGCGCGCTGAATTGCGTCAGCAAAAGCGCGCGCGAAAACTGTGTTCGGCCACCTTAACGTGTTCTACTTATAAAGTGATCCATATGACAGATTCACATACAAGAATATTGTAACCGTGAATTCTGAAATGTAAGATTATTTTACGTCCATGCGTAGGCCTATGTTAGTGAATCCTATGACCCTCATTTGTGCTCGATTGTTTGGTAAAATTGGGCAACTTACGAAATTTTTTGGGAGCTTAAAGGGCAACGGGCATATACATAACTTCAGGAACTTTGAAGTTATTAAATACGCGTTTCTATGGTCCTTCAACCTGTCCACTGTAGTTTGAACAATCGAATAAAAAGAAAACTTTCAAGCTTTTGGCTCTCAGACTAGTCTTCGATGAATGAAAATATAAAAAATTACAGCTACAAATACATACAAAAATAAGCGGGACTATAAAAATAATATAATCAAGTGGTAGTACTGATTGGGGAGCGGCCTTGAACTGTTATCTGCATGATTTTCCGAAGCGGTGTGCCATGATCCTAACGTCTTGCGAGTACGGAAAGAACCCTTGTCAATCACTTGAGAATATTCAGTCAATAGAGTGATTTGAAGACCAAGCGTGTTTAGCGATGTTGGAACCCGTTTCGCAAGACGTGTTCTTTTCTTCTATTTAAGCATCTGCCAGTCTCGCCTACATAACTACACTGGAGAGTCGGCCACACAATCTCGTACCCAGAGCCCGCGTGTCTTTTGGTCAGCGCCAACCAAAAGACACGTGGGCTCTGGGAACGAGATTGTCGGCCACACAAGTTTGTAGACCACATTTGGTTGAAGTTCAGTCGGAGGTCGGGATTTAGCAGGAAACTCCTGTTGTAATGTCTTCACTGGCCTGCTGACAACTCGCATATCATGTTTTTGATGAAGTCAAGTTGGACTAAACCCTAACCCTAACCCTTTCAGTTTCAACCGATGAAGACTTCTAAGCGGTGGCCGAAACGTCTATTTGTGGCATCTTAAAAACAGTCAGCGACAAACCACTGACTGACGTACATGTAGTCACTTTCACCTTTCACACTTTCTAAAGGAGTCGAGATAAAACAATGACAAACCGACCAATGTCAGAGAGACGTAAGTCTGTACTTTTGAAAGAGCAATTAAACTTATATTTTCTGACTTGACTTGTCAAATAATATCTGACCGATTTTGAGTGTAACATGGTGCTAATTCCACATTTTAAGAATATTTTACAATATTGCACATTCAATGAACCGTGAAGGATCCTAGCCATTATCTCAGCCCTTCAGCATTATTTACACTGTAATGTTTCTTACTTAACCCTTTACATGTACACGTATTTTTCTTCTTTTTTTTTTTTTTTTATCAATAAGTTCAAATTGCTGAAAATAATTTGTAGCTGTCGGCTCTGTAAGAAAACGCAGTACCAACTTCGTTCCCGGGCTCTCTCCTATTCTCCTCTTGAGAGTCATGGGAACGAAGATATTATCTGGTTTCGTCTCTCGATATGTAGCCATCTTTAGCTACAAGTCGTGGGTATTGACCAAAATCGAGACAAGTTAGGACTAGCACGGAAGACAAATATGAATTGTCCTGCAACGAAACCCAACAAGGCNAGAGAGGAACTTTTCAGCGGATTGCTTTATATTTTAGTTATTGATCTTTCTTTTGGTTTGGTACATTTCGCTGACCCCCTCGCACATGGACTAACAAGATGGACCAGGTACATGAACTACTTGAATGAACCACCAATGGACTACCCTAAATGTAAACCCTTAAAATTTCTAGCACAAAAGTTTAAGAATCAGTTTGTCTGCTTATGTTCCAATCTTCTAGGAACAATTTTTAAACGTCATCTCTTCTGCATGCATTGCGTGCCGTTTATTTTTCATGGCCGCCTTATTTCCGCCCGTGACACTTCACACCTCACTTCCATAGACTGAATAATCTCTGATGAAGGGGGTTAAGGATCGAAACGTTAGTTATATAGTTATGACCTAAAATGACATTAAAACCTCAAAAAGTATCCCCATATGTTTAACGATGATTAAAACTTAATATACATAACCATTTTAGTCGTCTCTTGAACGCTCGGTGTTGAGAACAGCAAAAATAGGTAAACAATGTGTACGTGTGTCTATAAGTTGACATTAATAGTTAATTTGAATTCAGTAGGAACAACTCTCAAGGCTATAATCGCGATTGACTTTGGGAAAACAAACCAAGTTTGACAAGCATCTTTATTAACGAAGCAAGTGATCAAAAATGCCAAATAAAAAGGAGTTCGTACTTACATAATGAGGTCTTATATCAATAACTCCAAATTTCTTAGGGTCTGTGCTCCGAACACTATCAACATTTAACTCCACTACATACGTGAACCGAGGCCATGACAATTCCAACACTGTATCCCAGTATCTAGGATAAACAACCAAAAATATATAACACTTACTTTTGCAGCACTTCCATGCGATCATTGTGCGTTACAGGGAGCCACTTCTGCCGAGTTTACACGAACAAACCCGTTATGTTAAAACCACTGAGATGTTCAGGAATTTACACTCAGCGAATTCGCTGTTCCAGAATTCCTTTGTTTCCAACAGCTCTCTAAGCTTACACTCTACGTTCCACAACAAGTTAATAATCTACTAGTAGGACATTCTTTTGCTCGCTCTTGGTGTACATAACTGTGTTTAAAGTTACCTTCAGGTTCTTACAAATGACTATTTTACGACAACTGCGGAAATTGTCGCGCTCTCACTGGCTAATTTTCATTGTCAAGAAGCGGACAGACACATGAATTTATAATTTATGCGATGCGTCAACGAGCGAGAGCGAACAATTTGACAATTTGTTRTCGTAAAAAACAAATTGACGYCAGTTTTTAATGCGTCTGTCCTGTTATTGACAAYGAACTTCGTCATAACATTGTCAAAGTAGTCTGYGGATCCACTCGGCTATCGCCTCATGGATCCACAGCTACTTTGACAATGTTATGACGAAATTCATGATCAACAACAGGACAGACCCATGAAAAACCGATGTCAATTTGTTAAATGGATTCTTATCTCTTGTAACAACTGTCGTTGTACATTATTTTCAGTAACAATCAATGCAATTAAATGTCTCATCTGGTCCTTGTGTTAACATTTGCATGCGAACTATTTTTGGACTACGTGTCTCTAAACAAGTTGCGTTACTTTCAAGCACGATAAACGTTTTCTGACGACCAAATTTCAAAATTCGTAGAGAGATATCACTTACTTGTCCAGTACAGGAACACTTCTCTTGTGCATTAGTATTCTGTACCGATGAACAATGTGAATACACAAGAAGATTCCAATGGCATCAAAACAACTTTCAAGATACGCGTCCATTTGTTTCTGCGGCGTGAAATTAAAAGATTGTTTTAGTCAGCCCGATCTGAATTATATCCACCTTGGTCCACTTCCTGACATCTACCTTCCCCGGCTATATACGGGTTGACCCAGGTAAGAGAAAAGAGAACAGGATATAAATCAGCACGCGCGTCCATAGGCACGCAAGTCATCCTGGACCCTCTCTTCTCCTGTGCTCAATCCCTATATGGAGCGGAGAAGGGAGAGTTCAGGAATTGGACTATATTCAGCTCGGATGCTGATGCTGCTTAGTGGCTGAGGATAGGATTGAGGAGAGCTGGGTAGAGTAATATGTAGGCCATGGGATTGCTCAGGAAGTGAAACTGACTCAGAAGGGGGTAGGGTTATATTCGATGGACTTCTTGAACAAACGGTTTCATTATATTTACAGACATTCAGTTGAACGACACTTTACTACACCCATAAGACTCACCAGAAATAACGACAGTGTTTTGCCGAACACTGCTGTAAACAGATCCTTAGCGTTCTTTTCAACCATGAAAAAATCAGCTAAAAATAAGTATTCTCTACAGCTATTATCCAATAATGTGAAGTGCATACTGCGAAACAGACTCTCGAATGAGTACTGTAAAACAAGAAAGAATAAAAACAGTTAACTCATCGTTCCCTTTTTTACAACGTACAGTAGCTTTATACAGGGGTGTAATAGGCTTCCTTTGTTAAAATTGCTAACGGCTTACTAACGTCTGAGATCAAACTAGCTAAATTAAATTCAGCTAAATACAGGAACCATCATTACTGTTGTCGAAACAAAGAGTAAACAAAGAACGCAAAAGCGCGGGAAACAGCTCCGAGCTTCAACAGCCCTTTCGATTTTGCACGTGACTGGTCAAAAATACATCTCCATTCTGGCAAACATATTGCACGAGCCTGTTGACCCAGTCACTAGGCTCATCAAACGCAAACGCGTCACTGGAAGGCACCTCCGTTTCAAACAGAAAATATGAAGGATGCAGAGGATAGTTTCATTTTAAAGCAGAATAATTGAACCCCCTTACCTTTTTTTGTGCCGCATGAGGGACAATGACGGGTTCTTCTAACTCAGATGTTAGAACATTGCCACGGCTTCCCAGTGTAAAAATTGTCGAACGGTTTTTCAAGGAAACTTTTCCAGAGAAGATACGTGACAGGAATTAAGGATAACAAATCCATTAACAAAACCGCGATCTACTAAATATGTCTCACGAAGACCTCTCATAGCAGACACCGTAATAATTCAGGGAAATCAGGCCGTAGTTTCCCTGTAGTTACGGACTCCGGGGAGGGGAGGAATTGCCTCATTCTTTTTTCTTTCCTCCTTTCCCCTGCCGTTCGCTGCCCTTGATCTGAGAGAGCCTGGTGGCAGGAAACTATGAATTCGTTAAAGGATATCTCTCTTCGCGTTGTCCTCTATTCCCATTAAGTCGTCTCTATCCGCCAGCTCTTCATACTGTTTAAAGAAAAGGAAATAAAGACAAGTTAGTTATGGCAATCAGTTCCTAAAAATTTACCTTTCATGTTACTTCAGTGGCCTCGTGGAGAGTGCACTCGACTTCGGATCGAGTGGTCCGGGTTTGAATGGGAGAGTAGAAATACTTCTAGTCGCTTTATGCTACGGAAACCGGAGATAAGCGCCGGCCTCATTGGCCATTTGGCTCGTATGCAGACTTTCTTTTCATTACCTCTCATACATGATATTGTGGAGATATGAATGAAATCTTAAGTTTGTCGGCACGTGACAGCATCAACCTAGCCTCCTAGAATGACTGAGCCCAGGATTTTTGTAACAGAGGTTGCTAGGTTACATCACGTGTGCTGGTAAATGCTGATGTGATTCTGTGATTGATCCCCTGACTAAAAACAAAACGTATTGCAATTTCCTTGCCTGTAGCTTGAGAAGCTTGGAGATGTACGTTTTAAAATAGGAGAAATAAATCTTGCTCATTGTGTCGATGTATTCATCTTTGATTTCTCTAGCAACCTGACGATGATGGGCCATTAGAAATTCATTAAAATACCTGAAAGAAGGTGGATAACAAGCGATTACATATTTTCAAAGTATAGTTCAACTTGTGTTGCTAATACTAGTTATACTAGTACAAGCAAACACAATACATTAAGAGATACTTAATCAACCTAAACGGCATTCCCTTACTTTTAATCTGCGCAAAATAAAGTTCAACTGCAGAATATACCTAAACTTGAGCAAGGCATTCTGCGGAATCTGATAATTGGTCATTGGGCGACGAAACTGATAAATTCTCTGTAGGACATAGTCTCTGATCCTCTGTACAGCCTGAAAATAAAAAGAAATAGTGTATGATTAGACAGCTCGAATGATTCGATCAGAAGCTCGCATTTCTTTTCATTCCAAGTCCCAGTAACGAATAGCAAGAATCAATAAGTTTAGCAATTTTGTATTATTTTTTAATTTTATTTTTAGCATGGCCTGTATTGATAGCAGCTTTATTTATAGCACTGACAGAGTTTACCCTGAAAAAACAAAGGGTTTTTTACCTAATTATCAAGTTTGCGTTCAACAAGAACCAATCCATTCAGTCACAGCCAACTGTGTTATGTCGCGCTTTTAAAAACAGTTGATTGTCGCAAAAAACAAAACCAAAGTAATCACTTTGGCCAATCACAAATGACGCAAAGAATCCACTGAGCCAATCACAACTCGAGGTGAATACGTGTAGCTGGTACGCGGGAAAACGAGGCGAGCGTCTCACCATTGGTTTTGGTTTAACTTCTGACTGGTTAATAAAGTGGTGTATGTTTTTTAAGCAATCATTAAATGTAAAAAAGGCAAAATCAACTAAAACGACACTCAAGTGAAAACCGCTCTAAAGTTAGATTTCCGTTCCTTGCTTTTTTTGAGGAGCCGTTTTCCGTTGGTTGAAAGGACTGTTCGACATTGCGTACCCATCTTAGTTAACCAAAACCGGTTGCGAACGTGTTCTTTTGCGGAAAATAATTCCATCAACTGTTTGAATACACGAAGAACACACAAAGACCGAACTAAACGAGAACGGTTACCAGATGCCCATAAAACTCGAAGGCAGCGTGGCCGAATGGTTAGGGCGTCGGCCTTGAAATCTGGATGTGGCCCGGGTTCAACTTCCGCTCTGACAACTTAGCTGGAGTTGTCTGCGGTAGTCACGAGTTCAACTCGTCGGCCATGTTTATAAATACCCAACTGGTCTACATCCTGCCAGTTGGGATTTTTAACCATGTTATGTTTATTTGTATGAATTGCTTCATTGTTTGTTTCCATTGGCCCTGAAAAGCCCCACTGGGGAGTGATCAATTAAAGTATATTTTTTTCTAGACGTGACCAAAGTTTGCTCAAAGGTCAACATTTCCGACAAACAAATCAACCAGTAGAAATAAATAGAAATGACTCAGTTAACCCGTTTCAACACGATAAAACTCGTTTCAACTCCAGTCAACTCGTTTCACCACCATTCAAATCCCTTCAACCGTTTCCACGTCGTATTCAATTGTTCGACTGTAATGAGAACTTTGATCATCTAGCCCGGCTACATTACCTTGACTTTCAGCTTTTCTAACGTATCTCCGACATCATTGACAGACAGAGCCCCTTTAAACGACTGCTCTTTAGCAAAGTCGATCTTGTGATGCAACTCGTGCAGCTGTTCTATGAATGTCTGTTCTGTCACTGGCGTTTCACAGATGTGCCTAAGGTACCGGGAAAAAAAAGACAATTTCAATTAAAAGACGCCTGCTTTTTCCCCGGTGGGAAATAGGGCGGGTTTACTAACTTTGGAGAAGTCTTGCTATAATGATTTGTGCTAGAACATGTACAAAACCTTGCCTCAACCCTTTCCCAAAGATCATAGTTTCTATCCCCAATGGTCGGTTAACTCAGCAAAGTTCAAGGAAAACGAACTGTGATCAGATGCAACTCAGCGCTAATTTGTAAGATTTTCGAAATTTAACTGAAAGTCCTTTTAAAGAAACCAATTACATACACTTTTGACAGAGCATTGTCACGCCTCCTAAAGTCTTTCAGTACATTACTATATAAATTCGCTTTTAGCATCCCATCAATGTAGAGTGGAGTCATGGAAGTTCAAGCTGACTGTAGTTAAGATCATCTTTTCAAATTAGGAATTCGATTACGGTGAAACAATCGAAGAAGAAGGAGTAACACAAAATGTACGTCTCATATCTCAGGAGAGATCTGGTCCAAATAAACTGAATCACTCGGTAACTTAATAAACACCCCCACCCATATAAAACACATTTCTGCCCATCGATTTCCGAACACACAGTAGCGTTACATTGGGTTTGTTTATCAGCAAGTTTATTTACTTAAGACAGTTCTGTAATATTTGGTACGCCTTTATAAGGTAGACAATTAGCAGTAACATTTACAACATGACAAAATATTACTTTTAGTTTGTAGAGCAATAATTGTTTACAGTATTTCGTTCCTGACACTTTTCTGAGTGCCAGAGAACTCTATTTTTCTGCGCTGTAGCAGTTAGTATTATGTCTATAAACATGGTGGGAGTGGAGAAAATTAGCATTTTACACATAAAAGGTTTCGGGCACAGATTAACTCTGGTGTCAATTTTTTCTAATCTTTTCAATCGAAAGCAATAATGTGGATTAAAAATAAAACGAAAAATCTTAGGAAGACATTTGTTAAATATTGAGCTTTTTTGAAAGACAAGATTGTAAAGTTGTATTTAAAGCTGAAAGATTGTGAAGTCGACCTTCGTTGGACATCAATGACTACATCCACGGGGGTCAACATGGCGCGATCAATGCTTTTTTTCTTAATCAACGTGCCCAGTTCTTAAATAATAGTTAATACACTTTGTTTACTCGGAGTCCTATTCTTGCTCCGACAAATTATCACTAGGCCCTCCCCAGCACTTGGAGTAGTTAGGACACTTTGTCTTCGGCTTGCAAGGGAAACAACTATCCGCGCCGAGCCGTCACTTTCCCTTTACCAAAGAAACTCTGCAAGCAGTCATAAAATGCTCGGCGATACTTAGGAATCCTCCATGCGTAGATAAAAGGATTAATGACAGAATTAATGTACAGAAATCTAGAAAGCGCTACATCGATCTTGTGGAAAGTTATCGACTGTTGGCAGGGCTTGCAAAAATACAACAGATGAAGCGTGGCGTATTGAGGTATGTACGTGATGTAGAACAGCGCCAGTACGATAATAATTGCAATCACCATTCTTCGTTCACGTTTCAGTACGTGACTCGCAATCGAGTCGTATCTGTTGTGTTGAAGCTCGCGCGTTCGCCTCGCAAGAGCACGAAATATCCTCACATAGATCACCGTCAGTAAGATGGTGGGAAGAGAGGCGTGAGTGTGAAGATAAATCAGCGTGTATGCCCTCTCGGGTATATTGGTGACGGGAATACCACACATCGCTATAGATATCAGCCACAGTAGGGCAATATATATCTTGAGACGTCTTCTAGTGATGATGGATTTATACTCCACTGGCCTGCTGATGGCGACATAACAAGTGACCGACAAGGCTATTATGGAGTAACTGCTCACAAAGAGAGTTGTGCTAAGAACGGCGTACATAACCGTCTTAAATACCTCAGAGAAGGGCATATGCACAAGACTGGATCGATACGCGTCTCTCAAAGCAACCAGAAAAACGTTCAACAAACCCAGTAAGAAATCAGACGCGCTTAAATTCGTGATCAGCAGGTCCGGCGGTGACAGACGAATCGATTTACGCGGATCCTTAAATGTTACGTAAAGCAGAGTCGCGTTTCCTAGGATGATAACGATCGCTAAGATAAATCCAATGACAGCTAAACTCTGCCAGAACGCTTCGTCATCGATTAATGTGAGATAAAAATCGTCGTTTGGATCAGACGTATTGAACATGGTATAAGCACTTTGCAAACAGACGGGGCGATAGAAGTTACATGAACATGTGGCCAAACCTTTTTATAACATCTCTCAATTAAACAAACAACTCCGTCACATCCTGAATGATTCGTTAGTTTTGACACCTTTCCTGTTTAGGTAAAAATCTAAAAGCAAAAACAGGATTTCCAATCACTTAATATGTGCCATCCCCTTTTGTTTGCATGTGACAAAGGCTTACTCGAGCTCCTAGGACTCCTAGTACTTTGGATAGTTTTCATCTCGGCCAGATAAAAACAGTTACGTGTTTCCATCCGATTCGAATTCGGAATCGTCTTTGTTAGTTCTGTGTGTTTACTTAGTTTTTAACATCACGGGAAGTTACACTAAGTTGATATTGACAAAAAAAGGAATCACGATGTAATTAAATCATACTCCGCTTTCTTAGATAGAACAGAAAAACACACCACAATACGCTTGAAACATTCAAATACAGCGAATTCGGGTAATTTTCCGCACGTTGTAAAATTAAACTTCAAACTTCACTGAATACACGAGGCCACGCGTGCTCGCTTGATTTCACGAAAACCGCCATGACCTAAATTGGCCTTGAAGTCGAAAAATCTGCGCCACCAAAAGCAAACAGTCTTTGCATAAATAATCATTTAAACTTTGCTGTAATGTATTCCTATGCAAGAGAATATAAATATCGTTCGTACATTTTGGAACGTGTATTAACGCGAATCAAGCTCACAGATTCGCAAGTTTTCCCGCGCGACAGCCAACCGTTTGAAGTTGAAGACTGTATCTAGAACCGCACAGAATTTATCGAAGCACGCAACGAGTACGCGGAACCGAGAGATTCTCANCTGTTTGTAGCAGTTCATCACTGCTATAGGAATTCATAGGAAAGACTCATTAACTCATTCATCCAATGATGTATTTACTTAACAAAGGATTTCCTCCTCCTTAGCTAAGTACAGACTCTCCAATAGTGTAGACTGAGCCGTTACACTCAGTTTAGAATAGTTTATTCCTTGCCTTTTGACTAGTTTTGTTATGATGAGCGGTAGCTGATAATTTAAATTGGTTAAAAAACAACTTGCCTCAAGAATAGTGTCACAGGAGGCAATCTGGTTGTGGAGACTTGCAATATTTTCACTCTCTTTGATATCTTTGATGTCATGGTCAAGAGAAAAAGAACACTGACTTGTTTTTGCAGAGCTCCAATGGCCCAGAAGGCCACCAAGCAGAGTACCATACTCATATAGGAGAAAAAGGAAACCCATGAATTGATTTTTTCATGGTTATCGTTACTAGCAGTAATGCTTGTGGGCACGTATACACAACAACAACAATGGCAACAGAGTTGTGCAACATGGTGGCCATACTCCAGCTAATAAGTTGAATGAGACATGCAGCCTTAGTTTCCAGCATACATCTTTGACATTGGACATGCATGTTAATTGACACCTGTCAAAACAAGGTATCCACTGACCAGTATCATGTGACCATATCGCCAGCTCAAGTTTAGAGCTCATCAAGATCACATTTTTTTAAGTTGACTACTGACCAAGATTGGATCACAGGCTCAAGCCAGGTTAACTTGTTGTAATGAGCACCAGGATTAAAAGTTAACCGACGTATAAATCTTTTCTTGCATAAAATTGTTTTTACTGCTTATTTTTTGTGTAGTTTGAGATTATTCAAACTCAAAACAGAAGCCCAACCAATATATGAAACACAAAACCTCAACCCAGTCACAAAACTGAAATCAAAATTCTCGCTTATCCTGGGTTAGCTTAGTCAGGCTTTGAACAACCCAGCCCTGTACAATGTTGACCTGTATCATATTATGCAGCCACTGGAATAATGCAAATGTCCTTGCTACAAAATATGAACACTTTTCTCAGGCAATGTGCAGATCAATTGACACTCAGCACTTATTATGCGAGACAACCCCTGCTTGGCCATTATGTGGAATTAAAGTTTCATCTCATGGCACAAAAATAAAAAAAAAATGTTGTTCCAGAAAACAACCCCACCTTTCCACAGAGGGTTTTTTGGTTTGCACACCGCCACCAAATCCCTCTGGAAATTCTAGTTTTGGCTCAGACTTTCAAAATAATATTTTAAAACCAGCATCTCCTTGTAATTTCATACTAAACAAGCTGCAATCATAAATTTTGTAATTTAACAATGTACACCCATACATGTCATGTGGTCATATTGAGGCTAAGCAGAAGATAAGGATACAGTCCAGAATTGATGCATTTTCCACTTCATGTAAGTCGCCTTCAATTTGCCTTGAGTACTGCCTTAGGTCTACTCCCTGACAAATAAGAACGCAGGTCAGTCCATAAAATTGCACATAATTTGCGTACTTTTATTAATTTAAATCAAAGACTGGGATGGACTATTTTTGAGCTGGGTAAACATAAGCAGTTTCAAAGCACTTGTAAGTGTATCTATGCTAGCAGAGCTGTCAAAACATTTTGAAGTAGGTGGGCTAAAATGAACATAACGGTTAAGGAAAATACTATTTAAATATGTCTCTAATTTCCCAGAATTTTATATGCAGGTCAAGTTAGTACTGACCATTACTTACAGCCATCTGACAAATTTTGTTAAAAAGATACATTTTTCCACGTCTTTTCAGCTTGAAGATAAGTGGCACTGCATGAAGGTACATGTACATGTATTCCCCAGAAACCTGTTTGAATCTACATGTACATTCCTGGGACAGTGTTTTTAGTTTTTCCTGTTTCAAATCCTGATTCAGTCAGTTAGAATGTATATTTTCTGATATTTAAATCAACTTACTTTTTCTAGAGCTTCTTTTACCAATTCATCCTCCAAATTTTCTTGTATATGTACTGAAGAGAGTACAAAGAATAATTCTCAATACCCTACAGATGTACTTTCTTACACAGCACAGTTAGGCATGCAAGGCTGACCACCACAACTCAGTTGGCCTTTATTGAAAACCAATCACGTGCAGGATTGCAGTTTATCAAAATATCATGATAGAATATCATAAGTTTGATTATTGATATTTTGATATTTTATTGATATTTTGGTGATAATAGTATGATATTATTGAGAAATCATTTTTATCACGCTGTGCATGTCAAATATCAAAATATCATTATTATATGAGATTATCATGATAGCTACTGAAAAAGTGGTAAATTGAGATATCAAAGTATCACTATCAAATCATCATGAGAATACACTGTAGCATGGAAAAGTATACCTAAGAATAGCAAGCTATCATATCATGTATCACTCTCATTCTCAAATCTCAGTCAAGTGATTTTATCATGTGACAAAGAACAGACACTGACAGTAACTGTTTGATATATCATGATAATATCAAAATCGGTTAGTTTCACTGCTGTTTACTTGCGGCTAGCTTTTATTTGTTGTCAAGGGACAGCATTGTATTGTATCATGATATATCACTTTATCACTGTGAAAAGAAGACATTCGCATTTAATTATATATCCTGATATCATGATTTATCACTCTATCACAGGGGGAAGACCAAATTCTTACTTAATTAAATACTCTGAAAATATCATGATTTATCACTATATCCCAGGGGGAAGAAGAAATTCAAACTTCATTAAATATTCTGATAATATCATGGTCAAAGGCTGGTAAAAGGTCTCAGTGAGAGCTACTGTTGCCACTAGGCAGCTCTCGTAAGTGCTGAGAAATGCCTACCATCTCAAAAAGGCTCTGTCAGCAAGTCATATGTCACACCTCCATACTTGGTGACCCTGGTAATACGATGTAGCTGAGTGACAATGGCAAAAGGCGAGCTTCCAGCACCTTTAAATATCTGGTACCCGTGGCTAGGGGAAGGACACCGACAGAAAATCCCTGGTCCTCCAGGTTGGGGGTTGGGCATGGGGCCAATCATCCCATCCCGTAAAAGCAAGGTGATTACGGAAACTGGAAATAAGCCCGGCCCTATCCCCCACTCGGGGGCAAGGAACTAAGCATCATGATTTATCACTATATCACAGAGGGAAGAGGAAATTCAAATTTCATTAAATATTCTGATAATATCATGATTTATCACTATGGTATGGGTCACACTCGGGAAAAGTTTTCATCTTTGCCGGCTAAAAAAACACAAAAATTTGAAACCGCAACCAGAAAGGAAAACTTTTTGACAGAACAGAGGGTCGCACTAGATAATTGTCAGTACCAAATTTCAAATTTATATTTGCTTGGCAATGTCATCCGAAGCATTGCAGGCTTGACTGCTGTTGATGCGATCGAAATTCTCGGCCCACAGCTTGATTAGCATTTTTTCTTCATAATCTGACCATCTTTCATAAGATCTTTTTCCAGCATCAACACATTCATGTTCAGGAGACGACTGGGAAGACGAAGACGATGACGTTTGTGAAGCGCTTGCTTGCATGGACCTGGCCGGTAGAGTGCTTTCCTGTGCAATGCTCGCATGTGAAGTGCTCGGTTGCGTTCCCCTTCCAGTCATATCATGGTAGTCAGGAGCATACTGCAGGTATCCCATGCTATCGCCGCGAAAACCTTGAAAACCTTGAAATTGTGCGTCCTTGTCCGTTCATGATGAAAGACCGCAAACTAGAACTGAACTTCCCATGCGTATTGTTTTTCATGTTACACTGACAAATGTTGACAGTAACCGCTGTGATTCCCATTGTTTGGCTCGACTTTTCGAAAATCTGCCTGCCCCACCCAAGCACTACGGCATCTTTGATGTTTTGCCAATTCGCAAAGTTTTTGCCAAAGCGAAAAACTTGCGGTCGCACTAGGCAAAGGCCCGCGATGACAGATTTCCACTGCAAAGTAAACAAATTCTGGCAAAGATTTCCCAAGTGCAACCCATACCTATATCACGGGGGGAAGAAGAAATTCAAACTTCATTAAATACATTGTATTCTGATAATATCATGATAAATTATGCTTATATGATAAAAACCTAATGCGGAATTAAATATCAAAAAATCAATTCCTTATAACACCAGTGATACATCATGATATTATCAACATTGCCTAAAAGAAACATATAGGATATTTCTTGATATATCACAAGTGATAATTAGTCATGATATAGTGATTAACTGCAATGCTGCACCTCTCTCTTGAAAACTCAACATACTATTAATTAATGGAGCCACTGCAGAATACCCTGCCACTATTGCTCTTGATTCTACTTGCACACATATTTTTAAAGGACGAAAAAAGTGCAAGAATGAAATAACTCAAGTGGCAGGGTACATGTATTTTGCAGTTACGCCTAATGGAAATCAGTGTTTCAATTAATATGTGGTTTACAAAGTTCATTGATTCATGGAGGTGTCAACGGCTTAGGATGAAAAATTTCAGTTCATGTTTCAGTTCATGTTTCAGTTCAGTCTGAGCTTACTATACAGCATTTTTTTTACCTACATAAGCTTATCAAAGTTTGTAACAAGTACTATCCCATACTTTTGGACTAGCACTGTTTAGTATTACTTACCATCTACTTCGTCCAAAATAAATTCATCTTGAGAAGTGAGATCTAATTCACCTAGATCAAGATCAACCTGCAAATCCTGATTAAAAGAAATATTGCGATGCGAATAAAACGTAAGCTAAGGCTACAGTCGAATCTCAAGGTAAAGATGAGCTTACTATCCATTTCACTGTTTCAAATGTGAAACTAAGAATAATAAAAGTAAAGCTAAAAAAACAAAACGAATATAATGTACCTCATCTGCTTCTTCGACGTCATTAGAATCACCTCCGTTTGTCTCTGGGTCGGTCGGGTTTTGCGCATTTCCCTGATCGCCGTCCGCCATCTTTGTTATCTTGCTCGGCAATAAGTAGCTCATGTACTATGACATGGAATGTCTTTCTTCTTGCTGCAACCGCTGACTGTCTAGCTGAGGCGCAGAAGGAAATACCACTAAGATTGACAACTTCACAACTTGATCGATTGACAAGGGATTAAGAAATTGACCGAGATTGACCTGAGTTTTCGGTCACGTAACACGATCATCACACATCCTACTAAACCAATATTCTGTGTCTAAAAAAGGATCGTTTGTCGCGTGATCTCTTCCGTTTAATGATGTTTCAGTGCGTTTTCTGCTCCGCCCCCTGGAATGCTCGCCTGAGCTATAAATTCGATCTCCAACCTCGGCTTAGCTCGATTTCGCAAGCGCCCTCTCTCACAATTAAGACACTGGGCTGCGATTGACTCCAAAGACTAACGAAGGTTGTCTTTCGCAAGAAACAAAAAAGTTTTGGATATGGGTAATTTACTTCCTCTTGACTCACACAGGAAGCAGCAAATTGAAGGTAAGTTGCATTCGTGTCAATGTCTTGATGGTAGACTTAGAATTCAGGAATGACTGCAAGCAATGACAATTGATGCTCTGAGTGGCCTCATTTTCATAGTGTGAGCTTAGGGGTAATGAATGGGCTGAGCAACGCAACAGTTCGTGCAATCACAAGTATTACGAACGCAATAAATTGCTATTGTCAAACACCGCTAAATGGGGTCATGAACAGTAGAATGCATGTAAGCTGTACAAATTGGGTTAGGCTTACATGGAATCAGTGCCATCTCATCGATCTATAGTTCTGCTGAAAACCGCCGACCATAATAAGTTTTAACGATAAAAGCTAGGCTGTATTTATTTTTCCTAATCATAAGCTGTATAAATAAGTAAGCTTAATATCACATCTGAGTTATGCATGTTTGCTATGCAACATCGATATTGGCAAACAACAACCGCTTGTTAAGTTACATGTAAGTTTATTTCCAGTTGGTGAAACTGTGCAGTTACTGCACTCAGACTGAACAACAAGCTTTTTAAGCATTTGTTTGCAAATCAAATTCATTTCCATTTGTGGTAATTACTGGTTGATCAACATACAAGGAAGGTATATCCGGGAGGAAATGATGGGAAGCAATGCTCACGTATTTGTTGGTAGTAGGGGACTGGACCCCACCCAGTTGTAATAATTGGATAATGTCTCGTGTCTGAAAGATGGAATTTTTTAACTACAATATTTTTCATATCATAGTTAGCTCAATCTTTGTTCGGAAAGTATTTGCTGTATAATTTTACAGTATATAGTTGTTTTAACATTTAACAATTTCATGAGAGAACCATAACATTGCTTTATGGTGGTGCATGAGCTATCTTTCTTTCCATAATGATTGCTACATCTAATTGGGCTGAGTGGAGTACAGTTCAGGAGATAACCATGTACAGAATTTCAAATTCAAGATATTTACAAGCACATTACTCCCTGAACTGTCTGTAATGAGGTCCTGACCAGTAATAATTAATTTTATCATCATAATAATGTTTAAGGTTTGAAATTTTTACTCAGGGAAGTTATAAGAAAGAACCCATTATTGATTTCATTATCAACCTACATGCAATTTTAGACATTGCAGAAGAATTTTTAAAGGAATTCACCATAGCTTACAACACAGCCTATGGAGTTGAATACACAAAGACAACCTTGAAGGAAATAGACGCTGAATCATTTGCAGAGGAAAAGCCAACATTTCAGCTATTGCAAAGATCAGTGAGTAATAAGAAAACATGTACAATGTGATGTAATGTATACTTAATTGGCCACTCCTCATTAGGGTTTTTCAGGACCAATGCAAACAAACAATGATAAATAAATATTCAAATAAACATAACTAGGTTAAGAATCCCAACTGGTGGAAGGCAGACCAGTTGGCTATTTACAAGCGCAGCCAAGAAGTTAAACTCGGGGCTACCAAGAACAACATCAGCTAGTGATCAGAACGGGATTTGAACCCAGGCCCTGCGGATTTCAAATCCGGCACTCTAACCACTCGGCCACGCTGCCTCCTTTATTATTAGTGAATTTCTTGGGGCCAAAACAAACTAAAGGCAAAAGTAAATAATTTTACATTATGTGTATGCTCCGTCAATCATCAGTTTTCCATGAATTGTGCTTTTAATGTAAGCTGTGATTAATTTTCTTATGATTTAGTGGGATAGCTTTAAGGGTCCTCTGAAGATGGGATACCTTACCAAAAGAGGAGCAGTGGTGAAAAACTGGAAGAAGCGTCATTTTGTTGTGAATCCTGATTACTCTGTGGACTATTTTGAAACTGAAGAGGTTTGCACATGTATATTATAATTTATACTGTGGATGAATTCATTTTGTGAGGAAGACACAGTTTCCTCTGTAATATTATTCAGTATCTATTATTAGTAGACTTCAAGTTGATATTAATTTTTTTTTTCGCTTTGATCATGAATTGTGCATTTTATGACATACATGTAAACAGGCATTTGAAAAAGGCTTTAAGCCCAAAGGCACCATCTTTCCATGTGGTTATGAAGTAAATGCTGATCTGGATGAAACAATGGCAGAAAGAGTCAAAAACCTTGCAAAAATGATGAGTAAGACATATTTTATATATTATTTATCATTAATACAATTATACAGTCATTATAATGGTGATTTTATTAGTCTGATAGAGTTCTTAGATTGCTGTCAATAATATTTCTTTAGCCAAACTAGGTGTATGAATTTTGGGTGATCCTTAAGGTCATTCCCCTGTATTGCGTTGTGCATCCTTACTGCGCATAACTTATGGCGTCATTAGCGCATCTTTGTGCATGCACACATTGAAAACATGGCGGATTTGCCTTGTTATTGAGTTCTGTTTCTGTCAGTTGAAAAATGGCTATAGCTCACTAATGAGATCGTGCACCCCAAGTTTTTTTCCAGTCATTTTAATCAACTAATCATTAGCTTT